TGCGACGAATTTACATTTAACGAGGCACTTCATAATTACAAGATATAGTTATAATTGTTATAAAACTAGAGAAAAAGAGAGAATAGAGAAAATGTTTCTCTGGGTTGTATTTTCATTATAACTGAAGCTCCTATTTATAGGAAAACTTCTGATGGCACAATCGTAATAATACAATTACATCAGGGGCAAAATAGTCATTCACATATAATATTTTAAACCTCACGAGGTGCATGCACCTATATTATAACACTCCCCCTTGAATGACTATTTTCTAAATATCATTATTCGAACAAAACATAATCTGAACATCTTGAAATGTATCTTGTGGCCATCAATTACTGCTGCTTCAACATGTCAGGAAAACCCGGTGGGACAAAACCTGATCATTTTAGAATCACAATATTACTCTCTCAGTAAAACCCGGTGGGACAAAACCCGAGCATTGGGGACAAAATCCTAATGAAGGAAAAAGAGTACATTATTCATATAAATACGCCATCCTTGTTGCCTCATTAAAGACCTTGCTGGGAAAACCCAATGGGACAAAACCTCAGTCAAGGGAAAAAGAGTACAACACGTATTCCATATATTCATCATACTAATATTTCCATGAGTATCACAATATCAATGCTTCCAGCGTATTATTCCACCATCATAATATTTCACATATTTCACCTCCATCAGTATCATTCAGTTTATTTGCACACTTCCAGTGTGATAAATTTCAATCATTAATTCTCCCTCTCGTCTTAACAAACATCTGATATATATTTTCAATATTGAATTTCTTGAGAGAAGTTCATAAATTCTCCGTTTCGTTCTCGATTTCAATATATATATATATATATATATATATATATAATAGGAGAACTTTGAACTCATATTACTTGTAATGTGTACATTTTCATTCCAATAGTTCATTCATATCAAATGAGTATATTACTAGCTTTTTCATATGACACTTATTTTCATTATCTCATAATCATCTTGTAACTTCAGGTTACGAGTCATATAATCATGTGGCTATCTAGTGGATCCATAATATCTAGTAGCACATATGGAGAGGTAGTAGGCCCATATATCGGACCCCTTTTTCATATTGATTCACAAATATTTAGCTAGTAATAATTTCACCAATAGAGAACAAAACATCACATATCACAAATCATGCAAACCATTATCATTTATATCGGTAAACATCATAATAATTCATATTTATCACAAACATATCACATCATCTTTCGGCGGCAGTAAATGCACTTCTAGTGCACATAATATTTAAATTCAGAACGCGTATCATGCCTTCTGACATAAAGACTTTTAAGCTCTGTTTTTTAGAGTCGTATCGCATACGCATCATTTCTATAAATTATCATGTAAATCATTCAATCTTCTTTAACAAAGGTCCGAATTCACAAATGGATTTAGCACTCTCAAATATCCATAAATATTATTCTTTTCTCCCAATAAATATCATAAAAAGGATTTATCGATCTCGATTAGAAAGATTGAGGGTGCTAATGGTTAATGATATTCCAAGTGATATTCGATGGTTGATTGAAGCAAAAGTTCGATTGTTTGGAGAGTTTCGAAATTCATACAAATATATGCCAGGTATGGGTAAAAGTATTTTTGCAAAGAAACGAAGAGCAAAAAGATTAGGTGGATGCTTCAAATGCGCTCGATGGACTTGTGACACACGATGTACATCTGTGGGGTTCGTGTCCAAAAATCGAGAAGATAAAATATTATTTATAAAGGATGGATTGAGTAAAGAATCTATGGATCAAACGATTCAACAGATTCTTGAGACACATCCGAGTGGTTATGTGCATCGAGAGCTTATGTCTTTATGGATTCGTTTCAAAGATGAAAAAGAACGTTATAGTGTCGAAAATATTGTTTCAAAAGATCAAGTTTGTAAAAATTGTTCTTGCTAGTACTAAAAATACATTTCTGTATTTTGTACTGTAATTTTCAGAAAATCTTATAGCTGCCGACAGATAAGATTCTTTGAAGACTTAACGACTTATCTGTCGGTTATCGTTTTGTGAAACATCCCTTTTAAATAGCGAGTCATCCATCATAATCATATAACTCACAAAATTTAGTTTATCAATAAATAGATGGATGTTTCAGAGTCTTCTCAAGGTAATAAATTTCTTCATCCGATCAAAACCATGTGTGTTCTTGGTGGTTCTAAACTGGTAAGTTTTTCTCAAAATATTGATATTGTAAGTCAACTAGTAAGGGAGATGGGGAATCGAAAAATCAATTTACTTTATGGAGGGACTAGCATCACTTTCTTTGATAACCTTTTAATGGCTGGAAAATGTTTTTATATAGAAGTGAAAAGTATCATACCTTTTCATAGAGCTTCAACAAGGGTCATCAAAGATTCCACAAGTTTGATGCTAACTCATTCTATTTATGACTGTATGATGGATATGGTGAACAATAGCGATGCTTTTATCATTCTTCCAGGTGGTTATGGAACTTTAATGACAATGTTTACCATTGCTTCTTGGGCAGAATTGAAACTTTATAATAAGCTCATAGGTCTATTGAATTTTAACAACTATTTTCATGGTTTGCTTGGATTTTTAGACGAAGGAGTATATCAAACCTTTATATCTCCTTTAACGAGAGAGGTATTCAAATCTGCAGACACGCCTTCTGAGCTTATCAAAAAGCTTCAAGAGTGCATCACATTTCAAGATTCTGTGGAAACACAAGGGGTCAAGCGAAAGAGAGCTTTTGATCCTTTAGATCTTTCATTATATGAACCCATATAATAATCATGGGTGGCAGAGTTACGGAGTTTATACTCTTGAGACGCACCCTTCTTTAATGGGTTCTATTATGTAATATTTTTCGCATATTTATTGAGGAGTCACAACCTCTTATCTGTATTTCCATCATATGATCCTTATGTACTTGTTCTTCAGTAATAATAATATTTTTAGTTTCTTTGGGATCTTTACAAATACTCCTTCTAGGAGATGCTCGATCTTCAAGTCGAGATTATACTCTTTGATATTTAACCAAGAGTTTTATTATAACTCCGTCTATAAGCATGAGCTAACTTATTTAATCTTTTTACATAGTGTTCATAATATATTTAACCGAGATGATCATTTTGTATATTATCAGTATGCACAAGGTTCTACCTTGAATTTAATACTTTACTTCTTCAGGAATAATTTTGTTGGTTGTACCACATCTTACCAACAACTTTATAATTAAATGATTTAATTATCTTTCATCTCGGGTACTCGAGTCTATACAGGACTTTCACATATGACTCAATAGTCATGGTAATGTTGCTGCCATAGATATTAACTTGCGGAATCATTGATAATGAGAGAAATTTTATAAAATTTTTGGTCTCTGCGTAAACCCATAATCTCGCTATATTTACATCACACCACCATATCACATATAAGTATTCATCCTTCTGGGATATACTATCCTTCTGGGTTATATCGTGTAGCGAGTAAAAACTCTGCCTTTATTTTTCTTTCTATCTCAATCAATCTAAGTTCTTCTAGCACTTTCATTATTTTGATCCGGATCATTATTTGAGATAGTAAAGAAATCACATAGGCAATTATGTTGTCGACAACTATGATATTCAATTTATATTCTCTCAACCATATGCGCAACTTCATATTTAGTAGCCATATTTATAATCATTTCCCGTAACATTTAATTTTGGCTATTCCGCATTTCCAGTACTATAATGATTTGATGCACGTGCAATATGTACTGTATCAACTCTCCAGGAGTTTCTTTATAAAGGAGTGTTTAGTCTATATTTTCCGCGGACTTTTATATATCATATTTTATATCACCTTATGCTTCTAGCATTAAGGAATCAATCGTTCCATAGGGATTTTGCTTACTTTGTGGTACATTTAGATATATACAAATTGTTCACTCCATTATTATTATGAACTTCGTTTGGCAGAAATAGAATATGAACTTCAAGTTCAATTTTATTGCGTGGTTTCAAATAATGAAAACATTAATATTTTAAATATTTTACGGCATTAATAAATTTATGCTTTACGGCATTAATAAATTTATGTTCATATCTCCCCCTAATGCCGTTAAATATTTTTGCACATTACGTACCAAATAATAAATTGACCCCCTATAATGGCCTCTAGGTATTAAAAATCTGACGGAGTATCATAGCATACCTAGGTTATAATATTGGCCCATAAAGGTACGAATTGGTGGTGATATAAGATTGTGCATAATAATAAATCGCAGATGGGAAATGTTAGATTCTCCACGCACCATTTGGGGAAAGTAATTGTTCAATATGATCCAACTGCTCATGCTAATTATCAAATATATAAGTTGAGCATCAAAATGTAATAAATCAATTTTAAGTGAACACTATATACTTCAGGTACTACATATATTATAATGTCTACAGGACATATATGATAATGTCTACAGGACATATCACTTTCAAATATTAACAATTAATGTTAACAATAATATGATACATATCAAACAAGATATGTTCATAAATAAGGACATTTAAATCAAGTAAATATATAGTTTTATATAAGAGATAATTTTCTATCATATTTCTCATGTGACAACTTATGTTTTTGTTCATGTGCTTCTGGCACTACATATTTCTTATCACATGGATCAATCCATAAATATCCACATTTCCATTTACCAAATATAAAATTCATACATTTCATAATACCAATATATATAATTTAATATATCAATATTGGTCTTAAAATGAAACTATCATTAAATTGACAACCATATTGTAAAACTGCACCTATCAAGTGTTTAAATGCCTCGAAGGGAAATAATCAAATTATAGAGCTGGAAAAAGAAAATCACAATGTGGGGACGGTGGCACCCATTTAGTCAAACACATGATTCCAGGGGCGAAACCACGCTATGGCAAGGAGTGGCCTCGACCATCCCATAATTTTTTTTTAATAGGTATAGGGGCCGAGAGGTCACCGGCCGGAGGCGGCGCCCTTCCATGAAATCTGCGCACAGGGAGAGGGAGTCAGGGATGGAGAAGAAGCTCTCCCCGTCTGTTTTTTTTTAATACATTTAAGCCCATTTACAGCCCATTTATTCTGTTAAAAAATATTAACACATTAGGCCCATGGGGGAAGCCCAATTAATGGGGGAGACGGCCAGACAGAATTTTATCTGATTCTATTCAAAATTTGACACAAATTTTACCAAATTATATCAAATTACAAAACCTAACCCCTTCCCCCTCCAACCCTCCTCTTGCCACTGCCAGGGGCGAAACCACGCTATCAAATTGAAGATGAAGTTATTTTACAGAGGTTTCAAAAGATGGCGTCCCGAAGAATACAGTTACCGCCTGTCAAATCATAATCATTCTTCTCCCTCGGTAGGAAGTTAGGTTGCTTTCTTGTTTTAATGTTTTGTATAACATTATTTGAATGATATTTTAAATAGTTTTTGTTTAGTTTTATGTTTGTTTGGTATTATTGTAAAAAAAAAAAAAA